AATCAAAACCCTCTAATTCTTTGCACTCTAATCGACCTTTCGAACGATCCAAAACCACCGACGGCCACCTCTCGACTTTTTGAAATCAAAACCCTCTTCCGCGTTCCATTTCCCGCGACCCATTTTTCCCTAAGTCAGCGAATATTTACCTTCTTAAAATTAAATGGCAAGTTACGGCCCATACATCCAATCAGAAAATTCAATTCTATCATTTAGGTCTCTCGGTCGCTTCGTGATTCGTTAAGTATTTCAGCCATATTTAATTTGTTTTTAGCATACCGTTCCCACCTTATCGCTGACTTTTCAAAAAACCCAACTGTTTTTCATAAACAAAGTGTCTCCAGCTATCAATAATAATGAGTTTTTTCGTCTGGCCCTTACAAAGTAATTATGAATAAACCCACTGTATCTTGTGGTTAAGAAATATGCCTTTAGCACGTACAAATCATATATACATCCGTTCAGTAAGATATCGTTTTCTTTTGGAAATCTTCCAACATTTCACGATTCCCCATGAACTTCAATTTTCCCTATTTAGACAAATTAAAAATAAAATACAGAGAGTCTTCTCATAAGGCGAACTGTTACAACACTCCCTCCTTTGAAAAAAGTCCAAGGCTACCTCTTGCCTTGAGTTTTTCCCAAAATAAGTGATTAGGACCGGTATTTATAAAAATGATAATATAAAACCAAAAACTTTCAACTTGGCCAAATTCCTCTAGGGTCCTACACTAAAGTTAAGTCCGGTCCTGTTCACTATATGGAGGTTCGCCTTACCTCTGAGAGACTCTTATCTTTCTATGACCTAATTAAACACTATGTTTATATTGTCGGACGCGGGTATCGGTATTTTAGGAATTGACTTTTTCACTTGACACTCACGAGCTTTCGACGCACTTTTGATTTAAAACACTGGCGTTGTTGTCTCGTTGCTGGAATGCTGTGTTATAATGCTACTTTTTCTGACTTTCTGCTAACATTTGGTCGATTTCGATTCCGATTCGTTCGGACCGCACTAAATTGCCGTTTGACATTACTTAATTAAGAGTTTATTGTTTCTCGTTTCGTTCCGTCCAGTGGGGTTCGACGGATAAGTCCGGATAGACTTTTGTTCGCGGTATGGGACTTCCCATAGGGGTTTTCCCGTTTTCAATATCTATGTTTTCCGCATTAGAATTTTCACCCGGATTAGTTGGCGGTGTTGATTCTCGTTGGCGATACATGATCCACATCGTAAGATTGCTCCACAAGCTTGCTAGTAGTGTGATACCACAACCTACTGTTTTATATAAATGTAGTCCGTTCAGGGTTAATCCAACTGCATATTTAATTACTTTGAATATGGTATAGAATCCTATGAGACCACTCATAAACATCCCGACGTCGGTAAACCATCCCCATATTTGTTTCATTGTCGAATGGGCTAATTCCTTCATTTCTTCCGAATTGAATATGTTTAACGTTGAAAATCCTTCCCCTGTTGTCTCGAGTCCCACAACTCGCCTGGAGATTATATTTTCCACTGCTTTCCTTTCGGATCCAAATGTTAGTATTTTCTGCGCTTTATGGACTTCGTCTTGGGTATATAACCCTGCTGAACCTATTGGTAATATAGGAGAAAGATTCAATTTGGGCGATTTCGGTACACATTTCATAATGTAGAGTACTTCCCCTAGTACACGTCCAACATGTCCTCCATCCTCTTGGACTATCTGACTAATCAAGGTTGGTATCAGGGGTGCCATTAACAAACGGTTTTTGAGTACTTCTCGATGTACCAGACATCTCCGGTGAATTGTATCTAAATGGAGTTTTTCCAGATTCCTCTTATACGCTTGCTCTACGTATAGGAATTTACTGTTCACATAGGTCATCAGGTCCGTATTGTATGGTAGTATTTCGATATGTGGGTCTAATACGTTTCCTGTTTCTTTCATCCAGATTACTATCCTAGGGTGCTCGGTTTGCCAGATTTCGGCATGACACATTATTCCCTTTTTCAATAAAGTGAGAGCAAATATCTTGTCTTCACTTTCCACTATTACATAGCGCTCCCTATTGATTTCATTGGTAACCACTTCCGCTTCTCCTTGATAAAGTAGGCTCAATTTATCCTCACACATGATTTGGGTGTTACTTCTCCAAACGTTCTCCCCTAGCGTCGTGTCGAAACAGTATCCTGTTAGAAATGAACAGGTTACTCCTCCTACCAGCTGTATCTGGTCTTCGTCCATTTTGATTTTGGCCCAATAATCGCTTGCTTAAATTTTTATAGAAGCTACCGATTACGTCTTCCCAGGTGCGCCCTTCTTCGTGGTAGGTAGTGCCTTTACATGTACCTTCTGCATTCACCGTCCCAGCGATGGTCAGCGAAGCTGTGGTAGTCCCGTTCATCGCTATATCCCCTATATCCTGATGATACAACCGTATACTTCGATAACGATGTAGTGATAAACATTCGTCTGCCCCGATTCGGTGCACAAAATTTGAAAGTCCGCCGGCCACTACCGAACTATGGCTATGCATTCCGCAATGGGTGATTAACCGAGTTATTTCGATTAAGCAAGTCCAGACCTGTATGAGGTTTATTTCGTTTCGCTGAATCACTTTGATTTGGGCCTCGACACTCGAGTATTCAGATTCCGGTTCCGGGCATTGCGCCACGTCCCTAATTGATACCGATATAATGTCCGTTTTGTAGTCATTACAGTCGTATACAATTATTCCGCGACACTCCAGAATTAGCAGAAAGGTCAGAATAAAGGTAATCGCCTTATAGTTGTTCTCGTTGCTGCCATCAGTTGCTGCTCTACGGTGTTGGCTCATGATGTGGCACTGTTTGTTTAATTGGTTTCTTTCCCGATTCGCGCACCACCTAAGAATAGATTACAATAATGATTATTCAGCGTACAATGGGTCCTTATACAGGATGTTCCTTAAACACATGCTAATATTCGAGGAGGTAATTCTTAGACCCATTTTAAGAAAAAAATTTCCTACGGACGTATGTCCTAAACGCCTTAACTTTTGAGTTTATTAAAAAACTGATTATTTTTGAAAACTTTTCCACCTTGTATCTCAAAAGTTAAGGCTTTTAGGACATACGTCCATAGGACGTTTTTTCCTTAAAATGGGTCTGAAAATTACCTCCTTAAATATTAGCATGTGTTTAAAGAACACCCTGTATAATTGTTCTAAAGCTATTCATACATGATGTTGCAGGATGTCCCTACAACTTGAAGTCTTTGAACAAAATTGTCCTTTTCATTATGTAGGATGTTAACCGGTACCTTCACACGAAAACGTAAAATTGCTACTTATAACCTTGTTACGCAATCAGAATAAAAAAATAAAAGTAAGAATGTCAGTTTCTCAGTTACAATTAATACAAAATATTGACATATAAAATATAACACTGGCCAAACTTCTTCCATAGAAAAATCAAAACAATCATTCATTACCTAAGACTAAGGAGTTTTTCTAACGTTTTTAGCCTAGCCTATTGCCTGATTGGTCTGATCAGGTAGCCATTAGGGTCTCCATTGAAGATTAAAAGGGCTTCTCCCTATTTAAGAGAAATTACCTTCATAAGGTATTTTGGGGTGTTACTTACTTTGGGATTTTTTTCCCACCAGGCAATGCCAGCCCTGGTAGAGATATTCTTGGTCTCCTCTACAGAGGCAGTTATTCCTTTTTCACTTTACCTCTAGGGTGTATACATCTCCGGAGGTTTGCGAATTTTCGTTGACCGCCTTAGAACCGGTTCAGGTTCCTCCAGTAAATTTTCTTCGGAGTCTTCTTCTGATGTTCCCTCATCACTACTTGTATTGGGGTTGCTCTCTCCTCTTAGTAGGCCTGGGGCCCAAAACTGTGGAATTACTGCAGGTGACCATTTTGAAGTTTCCTCTTCCTTGTCCTCTTCTTCCATCCCTCTTTCTGTTTTTTTTTCTCTAAGAGGGTTTCCGCTTTCTCTGGGCCCTCTTCTACTTTTCCGTGAAATGCTTTCAGTCGATTTACATGGACAATTTGATTTTGTCTTGTTCCCACCTTCCTAAGTTCGTATGTTACGGGACCTATTCTTGTCATAATTCGGTATGGTCCTATCCATGTTTTACTCAGCTTCTTTGACGTCCCAATTTTTGTGGCCAGTTCAAATGCTCTCTCTTCTGATTTCTTATTGAATTTTTGAATTCTTTTCTCCTTGGTTTTTTCAGTATTAGTATAAACTTCCGAGTATATTCTATGCATCCTAGCCATGAATTCCGAGACATAATTTTCGTCATGATCATACTTCAATCTCTGGGATCTAATGAAGCTATCCATAGGAAGTACCTGATCTCGGCCATGTAAAAGAAAGTATGGGCTATAACCGGTTGAACTGTGAATACTCCCCCGATAAGCCATCAAAACAAAGGGTATCCAATTATCCCAATCTCGCTGACTTTCACAAATATATTGCGACAACATATCCTTAAAAACACGGTGCATTCTTTCAATCTGCCCGTTTGACGTAGGGGTATAACTAGAAGTTTAAATTTTTTCAATCTTTAATACTACACACACTTCTTCAAATAGGTGAGACATAAAATTTACTCCTCGGTCTGTCAGTAGCCTTTTAGGTGTTCCATGTCTCACAATGATGTGCTCTACGAATATCCTTGCTATTGTTTCCGCTTTTTGATCCGGTATAGGTATAGCTTCAGGGTATTTCGTAAAATAGTCTTGGAATGTTAATAAATACCTATTCCCATTCATTGAAGTAACTAGGGGTTCCACGATATCCATTGATGTTAATTTCCAAGGTTCTCGTGTAGGAGTAAAGTGCTGTAGGGGAGCTTTCTTCTGATGTGCTGAAGTTTTTCTCCGATTGCACGCATCGCATCTCGTACAATAATTAATAATGTCCGTCCTCATACCCATCCAATAAAATCTGTTCCTTATATTCCCCAAAGTTTTTTGTTGTCCCAGATGCCCGGCGAGCGGCGAGTCCTGAAAATCTTCTAAAACGTTTTAACGTATATCTTGGGTACTATCAATTTGTCTATATTATTCTCTATCCGATATAATATTCCGTCCTTTGAGAGATAGTACACGTCGTCCACCCTTTCCTCTATTTGTCCTAGTTGTTCTTTGATAGTTTTGCAAAATGTGTCTTGTGATTGCGCTTTCTTCAGTAGTTCTCTATCCCATTCTGGTTCGATAATTTCTTCTTCAATTCGTAAAATTGCCCCCATTTCTTTCGGCAACGTATAAATAAACACCTCTATGTCTGAATTATAAAAAATGAATTGAATCATTGCTTGTATTTCTTCCCAATTCAATCCGTCTAGTCCGCATGCTAGTTTTGGCATTGCTAATTTCTTCTCTTGATTATCTTCGCATGTCTTCTTTAAATTCCGCAGAGCATTCCACACCGTTCGATATGATGGTTTATCATGATATTTAAATTTCGTTACTAAGTAATACAAATTTCGCTCGGGGAGTTTCAACTCCGCCACTTCTCCTACCATTTTCTTCTGTTCTAGTAGAACATTCACTGATCCAAATGATTCTCTGAATTGTACTGCGATTCCTTGTCCCATAGCGAAATCTTGTGATACACAGTGCGCGAGAGCACACGATTCGGGAGCTGAAAATAAGTCTCCTTGTTTCAAGATTAAATTCTTCGTCTTCAGCGGCTGATGAACTGTTAAGTATTCTTCATACTCTTCGAATTCTATATCGAAGTAATGATCATCTTTAGCATACATCCTACTAAGTGCGTCCGCATTCCCATGAAGTTTTCCCCGTCTATGTATGATCTCACAATCGTATTCAGCTAATGTCAAGGCCCATCTGGTCAATCTCGACCCTGGGTCGTTCATCGAAAGTAGCCATTTAAGTGGTCTGTGATCCGAAATTACGGTAAATTTTCTCCCATAAAGATAGCATCTGAACGTTTGAATTCCAAATATTACTCCTAACAAATTCCAAATATTGTTGAATAATTTAATTCTGCTTTTTTAAATTTTCAACTTGCATAGGCGATTGGCTTTTCATAACCATCCCTCATTTGGCTCAGTATAGCCCCCACTTCTAGTCCTAAAGCATCTGTGGAAACAATAAATGATTGTTCAAAATCTGGAAAGATTAAGACAGACTCTGCCGTCAAACTTTGTTTTAATTTGTCTATTGCTTCCAATACTTCTAGGGAAATTTCAAATTTCACATCCTTTTTCGTTAAATTCACTAAAGGTGCTGATATTTCTGCGACGTTCGGTATAAATCTTCTATACCAATTCACGAGTCCCATGAACGCTCGGACTCCTCTGATATTTTGGGGTATTGGGAATTTCTAAATGGCCTCAATTTTCTCCGGATCAGGAAGAACTCCTTCTTGTGTAATCATATGTCCCAAGTATTTCACCTTTTTTAATAGAAAATTACATTTTTTCGGTTTCAATTTGATGTTTACTTCTCTTAGTTTCTTCAAGACCTGTGCTATTTTTGCTAAATGATCTTCTTTTCCCTCAGCGTTGAATACAATGATGTCATCCAAATATACCATGCAACTTTGTCCTGTAAGTCCGGAAAGCGTCATATTCATAAAACGCTGAAAGGTACTGGGCGCATTGACTAATCCAAATGGCATTTTGGAGTACTCGTAGTGACCTTGAAATGTACTGAACCCAGTCAAAGATATATCTTTTTCCTCCATATCTATCTGATGATATGCTTCTGCAACGTCAATCACCGAAAATAAGACCTTATTGCCTGAACTATATCCTTGAATTAAATCTGATATATTTGGTAAAGGGTAATATTCCTTCTTCGTGACACTGTTGAGTTTTCTGTAATCAATACACATCCTCACTATTCCTTCCCCAGTTGGTGATTTTTTTGTCACTAATACCACTGGTGCCGACCATGGGCTGTAAGATGGCCTGATGATTTTTTGTTTTAACAGCCTATCAATTTCCTGTTGCAAAACTTCCCGTTGTCCATACGGTATACGATATGGCGCTTGGCATATGGGTTGTGCCCCGGGTTTTAAGGTTATGCTGTGTTTCACCTTGGTAGTGCTAGTAAGTTCGTCGGCATCGTCTCTGAACAAATCCTTGTATTATCTCAGTAATTTAATCAAATTTACCTTATCTTTCTTTTTTAGATGATCCAATTCAAATCCGTCTCCGATCCATTTGTCATTTGAGAAATCAAAACCTTGAATTTTCAACCTCTCTCCTTTGTTTCTCTCCTCTTCTTCTTCACACGTAACTGCATGCGCAATTTTTTGATTTCTTCTTATATCCACATTTTTCCACGACAAGTTTATCAATCTTATCGGTACTTGACTACCATTTTCCGTCAAGGTTTTTGCGGTAATTACGTGAGAGTTTCCTACTTCCACCGATTCGCATACTAGAAATTTTCCCGTTAGCTTTTCCTTCAAGTTTCCCATTATCACAACTTCTGACCTGGCCGGAATATTCAAGTCATAACCTGCTACTACGTCCGTTTCCCATCTGTGGGGTTCTTCCCCTACCATCAGTTCCTCCTTCATTTGTTTAACCGCTCTTTCTTCTCCTGTTCCCACCTTTTCCAATTTCCATAAAATTTTCTTCATTGCTTCGTCAGCTTCAAGTTCGGTTTTTCTTGGCTCCCGAATTTCCTTTTGTTCCCATTGCAAATCTTCTTTTTTCTCGCTGAGGTTTTTCTCTCTTTTTCTTCATTGTAAATCTTGGTCGGGTCATATTTTCATCGTACCCCTCGTAATCTGAGTCGTCTTCACGCCGTTCTCCATATTCTTGAATAATTACTTCCGCCTTGTTCAGATGTTCTATTTCCAGGCTCAATTCTTCATCAGATTCCCGGACTTCCTCTTCTATTTCTGCTTCGGTTTGTGTCCCCATTTCCCGGACTAATCTCTTTTCCGTTCTCTGTAGTCGTTGTTTTTCTTCCGAAGTCTTCACCTCGTTCCATTTTGATATTTTATAAAACTGTCGAATTTGCCCGAGCCACTCGGTCCAACCATTTGATGTTCTCCGCCCATCTTCTTGTAAATTTTGATTTCTTCCTTCAATTTTTCTTTTTCCATAAGTTTCTCCATGCGAGACCTCGCGTATACCATTCCAAAAACAGTGTCTGACTTGTTTCTCAATTCCACAGATTCCGTCCTCTACTTCATTTCTCGAGCGGAAAGGTACAGTACATTCCCACAAACGCATCACTGGCTTCGGTCCATAGATCAGATGTACATTATTTGCAACAAAAAAATCTCTTCCTAAAATAACAGGCGTAATTCCCGCAGTTTCATCTTCGCATACATATTCTTCAAAGTTCGTTTCTTCCATCCCTGGCTTGATCCCAAGAGCTAAGGTCGTTGTTCCAAAAATTTTCAGCTGATGTCCGGTAACGCTAATGAGATGAATATCTCTTCTTCGCTTGTAATTAATATCGATTTCTGGCACCAGATTTTTTCTTACCAATGTGACTGACGCTCCAGTGTCCACTAAATAATTACAGGATTCCCCATTTACCTGAAGAATCACTATATAGGGTATCTCCTGTCGTTCCACCAGAGGTATTTGCAAAGATTTTTGTCTGCTGCCCATTCTTTGGCTTCTTTCTCTTCCACGAGGGTTTCGTTTTCTTCCATTCTCGCCTTTCCAATTCCTTTCTGCTGCATTCCAACATCTTCTTGCCGTTTCTAGGTTTCCTCCATAAAAATACCGATTTTGGCCGCTTTCTCGGGGTTGGAAAGTCGGCCTACTTAGTTTAAAGCGTTCTTATTTTCTTCGCTTCTCGCTGAACTCTGTCCATCAGGTCTCGGTTGTCTTGGAATCGCCCCGGTATGTCGACCATTTCCAAAGTTCCTGAAATCTACCGGCCTCCTTCCGATTTCTTCGGTTTGTGGATTCAATACCTTCCTTGTGTTCTCTCTTCGCCCTTCTTCATGGGGGTCATATCGTCTCCGTGGGCTCCAATTTCCGGGTGGATTCCGTTTTTCTGGACATACATTCGCGTAATGTCCTACTTTGTTACAGTGGTAACAAGTCGTCTTCGTTACTGTTTCTTCACTGCTTCACTGTTTGTAGCAACTAAAATTCTTGCTCGGCATTCGTTCTCGTCCACTTCGGCAAACTGTAGATAGATGTCCCATTTTCCCACAATTGAAACAGATCTTTTCCTGATCGATTTGCGAAACATTCGAAGAGTTTCTTTTCCCTTGAATCATCATAAGTGTAGTCTCTTGTAACCTCACAAGAGTTTCTGCCTTATCCAGGTCCAAATCTGGCTCCCTTAGCAACAAAATCCCAACTTCTCTCAATAACTCCTTCCGAAGTCCTATCTTGAATTGATTCATCATAATTTCCTTATTCTTTTTCTTCAATCCCGCGATTTCTGCGGCTTCAGCTCTTTCCAGATCTTCGTTTAACAGGTTGGTCCCCAAGGCGCGTAACCTCTCCCCTGGTAATTTAATCGGCCTAAATTTTCCAATAAATCGTGCGTTAAGATCGCTGTAAGATGTTACGTTTCAATTTAGCACTAGATCAAACTGCTCTTATGTGACCTTTCAAAACACTACGTTACCTTTCAAGATCTTTATTCAAAGGATATTAACAATGTAATTAAGTTACATTTAACATCATAGTAATGGGAATCTTCCGTTCCATAGAAAACCATACCTGAAATGTACAAGAATATCTCTCGGTTACCCCTTTCTTTCTACTACTTAATTAGTTTTCCGACTTTATCTCAAAAAAAAATTCTCCTCTAATTGATTTTTCTCAAATCGACCCTTCGACGACCCAAAATCACCGACCGGACACCTCACGACCTCCCAAAACTAAAAAACTCCGCGTTCCATCTCTCGCGACAACATTTTTCCTGAGTCAGCGGATATTTCCCTTCTCAAAATTGAATGGCAAAGTTACGGCCCATACATCCAATCAGAGAATTCAATTCTATCATTTAGTTCTTTCGTTCGCTTCGTGATTCGTTAAGTATTTAAGTGGTTTTTAGCATAACGTTCCCAGCTTATCGCTGACTTTTCAAAAGACCCAGCTGCGTTTCATAAACAAAGTGTCTCCAGCTATCAATACTAATGAGTTTTTTCGTTTGGCCCTTATAAAGTAACTATGAATAAACCCACTATATTTTGTGGTTAAGAAATATGCCTTTAGCACGTACAAATCCTATATACATCCGTTCAGTAAGATATCGTATCCCCATGAACTTCAATTTTTCCTATTCAGATAAATATGTGAGACCACAAAATTAAAAATAAAATACAGGGCGTCTTCTCATAAGGCGAACTGTTACACTCCTGTAGAGCTAATTCAAACATTTTCTGTTTTTTTATAGCTCTATATTCCTCCTTCTCAGGTGTCCTGCTCAGTCTAGTCTTTGGTATAAAGACCTCTTGTTCTTCCAGTGACTTGTCTCCACTCCCCGAGTGGTTTTTGCGCTTTCTATCCTCCATATTTACTCATAGATAATTACAGAGCGATTCTGAAAACGGCCCGTCACTTATGTTAAGAGTCCAGAAATTTAAAATTTCATTCCAAAAACGGCCCGTAATTTATGTTTGAAGGTCCGCCAAATTTATCAACCGAAGATAAGATTCCGCACTTTTTATCTATTTTGTACATCCTTTTTTCGTGTTTCACCTCACTGCAGAATCCCGTTTAGAATTTTTAAACTGCATGGGTTTTATAAAACACTGATATTCGCCTTTTTATGTGTCTCTATCACTTTGTTTTTAAAAAAC